ATGACATTTCTAATATTTATTACAACTTTACATTTTGTTTTATATTCTTTATTTTATTCATTTTCTATAATTTATTGAATTTCATTATTTGTGATTGTTATTCTTCTTTGTTCTTATATTATATCATTTTCTATCATTTCTTCTGTTTATTTATTTATCATCTTTTTTTATTTTATTCTTTATTTCTTTTTTTCAAATATTACAATAAATTATTATTTTATTCTGTATTTCATTTTGTCATTTTCTATTCTTTTATTATTTCTTCTTCTTATATTTTATATATTGTAGTTAAAATATTGAATTAAATGAATATATCTTATTGACATTAATTTATTTCATAATTATTTATTATTTAAGTATAATCGTTGTGAATTTTGTTATTTCTTTGTAATTTCATTTCAACTATGAATTTTCTATCATTTTATCTTCATCATTATTTCTTTTATGTCCATTATATCATATTCTCCATTTTCTCTATTCTTTTATATTTCTCTTGTCTTTATATTTGTTCTTCTATATTTATTTTATCTATTCATAAGTCATATGAATAATATTTATTATTATTATTCTTATAATATTCTTAAACCATATAATTCTGATTAATTTAAGAGTTTTCATTCATTGAAGGAATATTATTTTTATCTTCAAAATGACAAAATAAAAATACTCAAACATCGCTCTGAATTTGAATTACTACATTCAATATACTATCTACTTAGTATTCTAACACTTTATTTATAAGGAATTGGTATGATATAAAAATGAAATAATCAATTATTTTATTTTTAATTATTTTTATAATAACAAAAATAAAAACAAATTTGTTAAAAGATGAAATGAACAATAAAAAAACAATACTTTATTGTTAAACAAATAAAATACTTTTATATTGTATAATGATTATTTGTACTTCATAATATCTATTTGTTTCTTCTTTAAATCCCTTCATTACTCTTCTTTGATTTATTTCATCTTTCTTGTTTTATTACTCGTATTCTGTTTTTTATTAAGTTTCTTTTTGGTTTTACTCTTTATTCTAATTATATTTTTTAATTATGTGTTCTTTGTTTATCTTAGTTTGACTTTAGTTCTTTTATTCAGCTTTTTGTATATTCTTCTGCTCAAAAAGAACAATAACCTTTTTTAACAATCACTCAATAATGAAAAAATATATCTAACAAAGTTTTCTCTTCTTGATTCAAAATCATCATAACTTAATTTACTTAATAAATGAGAACAACATTGTTCATCAAACTCAAAATGAAATCCTGTGATGAGAATTTTTCCTTTTCCATACCTTCTAGTATAACCACATTTTTTACCATCTTCATACAATGCAAAATGAGTACCCTCTACTTTATTATTATTATCATCAAAATAACAACCTCCATTATAATAAACATATGCATAGGTATTGTTGTACATTATCTTTACTATATGTGCACCTGACTCACTATTTGGTTGATATCCATCATACACTGGACCAATTGCATTTCCCTCATAAAATTTTAAGTAACGATCTCCTTCAATAACTAATTGAGAAGTTAAAAAGAACTTAATGTTGATGATGAAAAGTATGCTCCAGCACATATCCCTAAGAACTTTCCCCCATTGAAAACAAACGACTTAATCAGTTCAATTCCATCAATCTGAAGTTTATCAAGATAAGGCAAATCCTCACCTCCTGGTATGACTAACAAATCAGTACTTTCAATCCATTTGTTCGTCTTAATTTCTGAAGAAGAAATTTTAAAAACATTAGCACAAGGAAAAAATGATGAAACAATTGAATTGTGTTATGAACACAAAGAACGGATGTTCCAATGTCATTATACACTCTGATAGTGTTAATCATCAAAATGAAACAAATAAAAATAAAGATTATTAATAACAATGTGATTAAAAATATGAAAAAATATGTTTCAAAAAGAGTTTTCTTCTCATTTCAAATTCACTTTTCTGATTTTCTTTAAGCATTTTACCACACCATTCTATGTCTAACTCAAAATGAGGACCAGAAAGAATAACTTTTCCTTTACCAATAGTGTCAAAGAATAAAGCATTCATTCCATTTTGATATTTTGCAAGAAAATGATTCTCTTTGTATTGATTTAAATTGTCAACAAATGAACATCCTCCATTATAATAAAGTTCTACTTTTTGATTATTTTGATAATAAATAGGAATTATGACAGCTCCTTGTTCAGAGTATTCTTCAAATCCTTGGTATATTGGTCCATGTGCAATACCATTGAAAAGTTTTAATGTTCTTTCTTCACATAGACTTAATTCATTTGGAATATCTTTATTAAATTCAATAAATGATGATGCAAAATATGCCCCTGCACAAATTCCAAGATACTTTCCACCATTATTAATAAATTCTTTCAATATTTTGACTCCTATTCCATTAAGTTTTTTGTGAAAGGGACGATCAGCACCACCTGGCATAACAAATAAATCAGTTTCAGAAATCCATTTACCTTCAATTAATTCATTAGCATATATTTTTCTTATTCTAGCTTCTTGGTATTGAGAATGAAGCATTTTCATTGAATAATAAACACAAACATTAATAGTTCCTTCATCAGCATAAATAACTATAGATTTTATTGTCATAAGAAATGTTAATTCTCTTTAATCATCCAAGTTCTTTTATACTTTATCTTTATTACTTTTTAACTTAATAAATCTGCGAAAATAATTCAATTTAAAACTTCATGAAGAACTAAAAGTAACTTTTCTGCAATTTGGTGATGTGCTTCTGATGTGAAATGAACACCATCTTCTCCAACACTCATCCCATCTAAATCAACAAACCCATCTATTATTCCTTGCTTTTTCCATAATTCAACAACAATTTTTAATTGATGAACAAATTTCAATGATTCTTCAATCACTGGATTTACTGTAGATTTCCAACTTTCAAATGTACAATATTGAAGTGGTGGTGGAATTAAAACAATTACTTTTGTTTGTTTTTGAACTTTTCGATATATTGTTGTAACGCATCAATAACTTGTTGTGAAGTTGCTTTTGAAAGAATATCATTAATACATAATGCAAGGACTAATACTTTGTTTGTTGAAAATGGATTGGAGGTAATCTTTAATAAGAATTGATCATATTCTTTTAACCCATTAGTAATACCAAATGGTATGTTTTCATATTTTAATGAACGAGCAGGTTTTCCATCAACAATACAATTGACTTTTGTAAATTCTTTTTTCAATTGTTCAATTACAATACTAGAAAATCTGTCTTTGGAAGAATAACGTTTATAAGTCACAGCTTCAATCCCATAAAGATTTGAATCTCCATAAAAGAATATTGAAAGTTCATTCATTAATAAAATTGTTTTTATTAGATTTAAAACTAAATTAAAAATAACAAATTATTTATTTCTGATAATAACAAGATTTTAATTGAGGAAGTGATAATACCATTCAGTGTTAATAAATTCACTTTCTTTTGATCTTTTGGAATAGAAATTCTTTATAAAATCTTTTTGAATCATTTCACTATTAATTTTACTTTCATTAAGCACCAGAGTATAAACTATAATTGGATTAATTATTTCAAATACTGATAATGAAGATAAAGTGAGTCAAGATGGTAATTCTACATTCTGAGTAATACAATTTTCAATGTGAAGTTCCTTAACATTAATATAATTTAAATCTTTAAATGATATATGATTTTGTGATAAACCAAAACATGATACAGTTAATGAAGTCAAAGAAGTAGGAAGTAATATTAGATATGAAATAATCCTAATATTTTTAAACTACAAAGACATGAATAATGATATACATTATGTTCTTTTAAAGAAACATTTAATACTAATTGTGTAATTGGTAATTTCTTTGGAAGAGAATTAGAATAACATTGTAAAAATTTTAATGAATAGGATAAAATGATTCAATACTAACATTTTTAAGAATTTTGTTTATGTGTAATACTTTTAAATTTGTTAATGAACAAAGACTATTACATGTGTTACATGACAAAGACAAATATGTTAACATTGGACATAATGAAATTTAAAATAGTTTATTTGAACATACAGAAGGTCGAACTAATTGAGAATAATTAGAAATTTGAATAAAATCAGTGATTGTTATGCTGTTAAATTATTAGGAAAAGATATATCTTGAATATTTTTTCCTTGAAGATATAATTCGTTAAGAGAAGATATTTTATATAAATATTTTGATTCTAGATGTGTTAGACTTACTGGTGGATTAAAATAAATTGAAGAATTTGTTGATTTGATTGATTTTATGAATGTATATGAACTAAAATCCATTTTAATCTTCTTTTTACTAAATCCATTTATTTTAATATGCTCAGGATAATATTGAATTAATATTTCATTATCAAATCCTTTTTCTGTTATTTCAAACTCATTAATTAATCTTTTATTATGAATAATAACACTATTAGACATTTACTATAACATTCTTTGTAACAAAATGTAATTCTTTTGAGAAGTTCTTTATTTTTGATGACTGATTCTAATATTTCTTGTTTATCAAACTCAATAACTACTTTCTTAATATTAAATCGATCAATGTGATTAATAAAATTTGTATCAACAAATCCTTCCATTAAAACATAACCTTTTTCAAAACGATGATATCTATTTCTAATAAAATCATTAACTCTTAAGTGATTTTTAATAATAAGTGATAGACTTGTTAAAGACATAAATTCTGAAAGATCAAAAGAGAATTTAGGATTTTTTAATGACAATGAAGCAATTCTTTCTTTCAAATAATTATTTTTTAATATTGTAGATTCTGGACTAATAACAGGAAGTCGAATTATTTTAATTTGTGAAGGAATTAAAGGAAGAAATTGAATTGTTTGTTCTGTAAACCAGATTGTTTTAGATGAGGAAATAATTTCATTTCTTTTACAAATGATTTTTGGAGTTGAAAATTACATTCTTTAGTATGAAAATATTCATTAGCTTTCTCAACAGAATATGATGGATTGATATGTAATAATTGAAGTGAGTCTTTACATTTTTTATTTATTAATGTAAACAATTCAGTTATTCTTATCCTACTAAAATATAATACAATATTTGAGAGATAAATCTCTTCAACTTGTATCTTTTTTTAATCATAATAAATGATTGATTTAAGATTAATTTGTTAACACCTTTTTGAAAAGAATTAGATTTTTGGCTTTTCATTTCTGTTTAACACTAATCTTCTTTTTTTGTTTATTTAGAATTCATGTGTGGGAGAAGTCCTTCATTCCTTAACAAATTTCTTGAAATTAAATCAGCTAGACGAATAGGCTCTGGGATTTTATGTAAACAACATTCTTTACATATAATTACTGCTGTTGAAAGTGAAACCTTATGCCCACAACTAACAACAATTGGATTTATACTACCACCTCTACTTCTTATAACCCCACACAACACTTCTCCACTTGAAGTACTAATTGTCGTTGATTCACCTGCTTTGATTTGTGAAGTAACTATGTTAATCTCCTTCTTTCCTATCCCATCAACACATAATACAGTCTACATTGTTAGAGTTATTTAGTGAATAAAACTCAAAAATTACAAACCTTTGCAACACCAATTGATGGTATATCACAACAAATTCCAACATGAGTTGCAGAACCAAATCTTCGAGGATGATAATATCCATTCCCGTCAACAAGAACAACTTCTGGATATAACTCAGGATACTTTTCTTTACAATTGTTTAGTAATTCATGATAAACTTCTACTTCTCTAAACCAAGAAATCCTGAAATATAAGGAATCGTAATTATTTTACGACACGTTAATGTTAATAACTCTTTTCCAGAAGGATATTCACAAATAACTAAACAACCAATTGCAAGGTCTGTGTGATTTGTTGAAAAAGATATATCTAATCCCTAATCATTAATAATTTTATCATACCAACTAATAACCATCTAGTCATAAACAACAAATAAACAAACCCCAACACGTCGTAGTGTGTCTAAAGTTCATTCATGTGAGTCTTCAAGTACTACATCTTTAGAATGTAAAATTTGATACTTTTCCCATTGTTTTTCCATTAATTATTGTTTTTAAGTTTAAATACGCAAAAAATAAAATTAAAATAAAACAATTAATTAAGTATTAAATAGAACTAAATTCCTATTATTCCTGCCTCACCAGAGACTAATCCCGTCAATGAGTCTTCATCTATCAATTCTACTGAGTATGTTTGATTGTGGTCGAAACAGTGCTCCATGACGTCCATCATGTTTTTAATTACATGGTTTTTAATTTCTTTAGTGATGTCAATTTCGATTTTTAATTGTTTGATTAATTTAATACTTTCGGCATTTACTAGCCCATTAATCGAAATTACTACTGGAATTATTTTGACATCCTTTAATTTCTCTATTTTCATTACCATATTTTTTAATTCCTTATACATATTTCTTTTATTCAAATAGCCTCCATTAATATTATGACCTGCCACAATATTCATATCAATTATTAGACCAGTTTTATTCTTTTTATCTAGTAGATATATATCTGGTCTTTTATGATATAGTCCATCACTTTTTGATATTATTTATTTGTTCAATATCATAGTAATGTCATTGTATTAGAACATTGTTTCATATGTTGGTTTCTTGTATTGTTTATTTCCTGTGTATTTTCTTATTATCCCATATGATGATGCCAATATTGTCATGTTTCTCCATTTGTGATTTCTTATGACAAATACAAGATAGTAGAATGTGTTCTACTGTGGATATCTTGTATTTACAAAGTGGGCAGTACTTCAATCTTTCATTTTTTAATATTTTATCTTTCCTGTACACACTGAATATTCCTCCATCTTGCATTTTAGTTAATTGGAGAAATGAATTTTTCTTTATATTGATGGACTTCAATGTATTTATTGTAGTAGTTTTATCTACAAATTTTGACTCGAACCATCTTCTAAAATATCCACTTGTTTGATTTCCATTTTTTGATGTATTGGTTGGTCATTAATTTCTTTATTTTTTCTACTACTTCTTTTTCTTTTTTATTTTCAATCCCTTCATTTATTATTTCTTCTATTTTCGTTTCTGGGATTTTATGACTTAGTGCTTTTTTAATTCTATTCAATATTCCTTTCTTGGAATACCATCTATCTAATATGTTATTTCCTATTTCACTCTTGTACATTAGTATATTACTGTTCTAATTATTTCATTAACATATTCATCCCTTAGGCTTATTAATCATTCACCAATTTCATTTATAGGGACATATAGACGGTATTTGGAGTTACAACTAATCTATTTTGCCTTTCTTAAATATTTTCTTATCTCCAAATCCATTCTATCTAAGTTACCTTCCAATTTATTACTGATACTGAATATCTTCAGATTGATTACTTCAGTATTAATTCTTGTAATATATCTTCTATTACTACATTCATCAGTATTTATTTCTTCCATTTTCTTCTTCATCTTTTATTTGATGATTTTACAATTGAATATATCATTAATTTCATCGGACCGCCATACACCTAAATATTTATACAAGTCCTCTCCTTCAATTAATGTGATGTTTTGCATTCCATCTGGTATTTTATTAATGTTCTTTAATACCATTCCTGATTTATTTTCTTTTCCATCCCTATTCCACTTATTATTTCTTTAATTTCATTGTGGATTGTTCCCATTTCTTCATTACTTAGTGTCATTATTCTCAAATCATCCATATACAATGTATGGTTTGATTTTGGGAACTTCTCTTCTATGATTTGAGAAATTATATTCATTTTGATGATGAAGAGTAGAAATGATAATGAATCACATTGTAAAATTCATCAATTTAATCCATCATAGATATTCGTTGTATTTATATCCTATGAATATCTTCAATCTGTTCATCATACTTTCTACAATGTCTATGATGACACCCTCTACATTAAAATATTTAAGTGCTTCTATTACCTATTCATGATTTACTGAGTCATATGCTTTCTTAATGTCATAATATGACTCTACATATTTTGTGTATTTCTCTTCTTTCTGCTGCTTTAATATATAACTGTTAATTAATCCTTCTTTAGCAGCAAGAGATTGCAGTTTACATCATAATTGATTTTTACTAATTTTTAATGATTCACTATTCATGTTAATTCTATTGTGAATCTTCTCTTTCAATATTGAGGTAAATACTTTCATTATTACATTTGTACAACTGATATGACGATAATTAATGACATCGTTCATATCACCTCCTTTGTGGATTAATATAATTCTTCCACTTACCATGTCTAGAGTGTTGTTTTCATTGAAGTTTAACTAATCATTGAAGATATTAAGAATGGAGTCTCTTGATGATGACATTCTCTTCTAATAATACCCATATATAATGTCAATACCTGGTGCTTTCCAATTACTTATTTTCATCATTCTTAAATTTAAATCATCCAATGTGATGATGACACTATCATAATTCCTATATCTTTCATTCCACGAGATGATTTGTTTTATTTTCAAATGTTCTTTATTTAATATCACCTGTGTTTCATATAACGATTTCAAATATTCTAAAATAATATCGTTATTTGGGTATATTTCATTTTGTGGGTCTTTCTTCTTTATTTTAATTTTGTTATTAGAATCAAACATGATTTTATTTGTATTGATTCTGATAATTTCATTTTTATTAAATTTAATTCTTTCTTTAATCATTATCATCATATATTTTAGGTACTTTATTCTTTCATGTGATTTAATTTTAATTTCATCTGCATCTTGTTCATTTAATCTCATGATACATTTTATTCTGTACCATTCCATTGATTAGATATTCTATTCTATTTATTTTCTTTATGATTTCTTTTATTTCATCAAATTTATATCATTTAAATTTATTTTAGAGATAATAATACATACACATTGAAATCATTTTCATATCTTCTTGCAGATTTTCTATTCTCCTGACCATACCCTTTTATTATTAATTTCTCTTCTTAATTTATCTGATTCTTTCATTTTCCAGTAATAATTAATATTTACACATTTATCTATTTTCATTTCTTTAACTTGAATGATGATAGAGTTAAGATATTCATCATCAATATCAGTAGAGTTATTTTTTATGATAATATTTTTTATTATTGAATTACACTCTACTTTCCCTTCTATGATGGTTCACTTTCATTCTGATATATCTTTTAGTTGTTTATTTTATTCTATGTGACTTTTTAATATTATTAATGTATTCTTTATCATTATTTACATTATTATTTATTATTTTTATTATATTTTCTATTTGTTCCCATCTTAATTTCTTATTTAATTTCTTATTTAACAAATTAATTCAAAACAATACAACACATCAATTAAAATTCTATTTGTTTGATTTGTTGTGTTTTCTTCTCTTCTTGACTGATTATCATTTCTTGTTTTTTGATACTCAGTGTTTTGTTCTCTTCTTCTTCTATTTCCAGAATTGTCTTTTTCATAGGGGTAGTTTTGTTCATTTGTATTGTCCCAGATGATGATGTTCTCAATATTGGTTGTGTATTTATCAGTAGAGTCATTGTTTTCTTCTTCTCCAGTTCCTTCTGGGATAAAAAATTTTCGATACTTTCTTGTTGTTTTGATATTATTTGTTTTTGTTCTTCATTTTCTCTTTGTGTATGGTCTAATTCTTTTCTTGTTATTTCTGCAATCTCATAGTTTTGAATCCCACTTTTTTGATATACAGAGATTTGATTTTCTTTATCTCTTATGTTCTTCTCTAGCAACTCAGCACTCTTCTCCTGCTCATCAGCCTTCTTCTTCTCCAACTCAGCACCTTTAAGGACTTCGTCCTTCTCTTTCTTCAGCTTCTCATAGCTAGCTCGGAGTGTGAAGATGGTTTCATCCTTACCTCCTACTTCTGTGTTCCTTCTACCATTTGCTTCATTTATTTTTCCTTGTAATGTCTTGTTTTCCTCTTTTAATTTAGAGTTTTCTTATTTCATTACATGTAGTTTGAATATTGTTCATTTGTGTTTGAATCTTTTTTATTTCTTCTTCAATCTCTTTCCTGACTGTTTCTCGTGCTTTTTGAATCATTTCATCTGAAATAGTTCGTTCTTCTTCCATCTTTTTTGTTTCAAATTATTTAATAGTTTCTTCTATTTCTTTGATTTTATTTTGAAGTGTGTTGATTTCTTCTTTGTTATATTCTTCTTTATCTTGTGTTTTCCATTTATTTTCTTTTTCATTTATTATTCTTGCAGCTTTACATCTATCGTTCATTTCTTTGTTTCGATTTTTGTTTTTGATTTCTTCTTCAATTGTTTTAATATCTTCACTTTTCCAATCTTTTGTTTTATCTTTGATTTCTTCTTTGATTTTCTCTAGTGTTTTCTTCTTTCTTATTGAATATACTTCTTGGAGAATATAATTTCTTTACCTTCATACTTTTTAAGTAATTCTTCGTATTCTCCTTTTTCCCATTTTCTTGTTATTCTTTCAATTTTCATTTTAATTTCTTTTGTTGTCAACCATTTAGGTTTCTTATTTGTATAATGTTTATTATCATTATATTTACTTTCTTTCTTATTTGTTTTATTTGTATTCTTCTTTTTCTAAACCCTTTTCTCTTGTTATTTCTTTTATCATAATTATTATGCATTTTATTGTTATTGAAGTCCTTTCTTTTCTTTGAACTTAAATATGTCTTGTTTGATTTTCTTTACAAGACTCTATGGTATTACTCAATAGGCATGGCAACAAAATTTGTTGTATATTCTGCATTGATAAAAGGATCTATAATAATGAATAAAAGATAAAACAAAATGAAATATTTAATAATTATGAATTTATTAAAAATAAAAATAAATATCATTTTATTTTATTTCTTATTATTTATTGTTTTTCATAACAAATATTAAATAATAAAAATAGAAAATGATAAAAGAATAAAAAAGAAGAAATTAAAATATAAAAATAAAAGAACTAATAAAAACAACTAATAAATAATAAATCATAATGAAATTAGGATATAATGAAATAATGATAACATCAATGTATTTTGATGATATTAAAGATTTTATTAATTTAGAAATCGGAGTTAAAAGATTTCAAGGAAATATTGAACGATTTCATTTTAATCCAATTCCATTAGATAAATATTCAAGAAAATTGTTTACTAATATTGAAACATTCCATGTTTATGGATATGATGATGAAATATTTAATGATGGAAAAATATTTAAATATGTAATATGGTATTTAGTAAATTATTCAACATATTTATTCGAAAAAGAACAAGGAAATATCTGTAAAAATATAGAATATACAGAAGAAGATAGAAATACATATGGGAATACAATACCATCAGAAGTTAAATCACTTGGAGATTATTGTTTTAATAGGTGTGATTCATTAACAACAATTGATATACCACCACCAATTAATAAATTAGGATTTGGATGTTTTAATAGATGTACATCATTAAAATCAATTAATATACCATCATCAATAAGTAAAATAGGATATGATTGTTTTTATGGATGTACATCATTAATATCAATTAATATAGAAAATCTACAATATATCAGTGAAGAAAGAATATTTATAAATGAACCAGTGTTAGTTAGTATTAAAATACCAGAAAATCTACAAATAATCAATGGAAAGAATATTGAAAAGAAAGATATTAATGAATTTATTATTCCATCTTCAATTACTAAATTAGGTAATTATTGTTTTTATCAATGTTCATCATTAACATCAGTTAATATACCATCATCAATTACATCATTTGGAATTGGATGTTTTTATGGATGTGGATGTGAAAAAGAATTAAAGAAAAATAAAACAATACCAAGAAATTGTTTTAAATGGTGGTTAATGAAGTAAAGATACAAAAAATGAAATACAATATAAATTGAAGTAGAAATAAATTATAATTGATTATCATTTATATTATTATTATTCTTTTCTTATTTATTCTTTTTGATATTATTCTTTTTTATTGTGTTAAAATATTTGTTATTATTTATTGTATATGTTTATTATTTGTTATATCTTCTATTTTATCATATTTATTTATTATCTTTTATATCGTTATTATTATTTTATTATTGTTGATTATTCTTATATTCTATATTTTAACTTATGATTTTCTATTATTAAATATAAATTAAATGAATTTGATATTATAGATAAATAAATATCAATTTTATTAATCTATTTGTATTTATATAATATAAATATCAATAAAAATAAATTATAAGTTAAATTAAATGAAATATGAATATGAATAATGTTAATATGAAATGAAATAATTAAATAATAAGAATATATTTAAAATATAAATATCAAATACATGAATAAAATAAATAATATAAATAATAAAATATAAATCAAAATAAATAAATAAAATAAAGAATAATAATCAAATATTAAAACATGAATATGTATTTAATCAAATATATAAACATATATTAATTACATATTTTATTAAATTTAATGAAAATTGATTTTAATATATATCATAAATGAATATTAAATTAATATAATCTTATATTAAATTATTGATTTATTTATTAATATATAAATAAATGAATAGAATTAATATTTATATTATATTTTATATCATAATATATTGATTAAAAATAAATAAGTATTTTATAAATGAATATATTTCATTTAATTATTTTATTATTATTTCTTATTATCGAATTTTATAATTTCTTATAATTTCTTTTTATATTATTATTCTCATTTGGTGTATTATTATTGAATTAAATCAATAGAATAAAATGATAATGATGAATAATGATAATAAAATGATAATAAATAATAATAATAGATAATAAAAATCATAAGAATATAAAAGAAAATATATTTAATGATAAATAAGAAGAATGAAAATAATATAGAAAAGAAATAATAAATTATAAAATGATTTTATAATTAATTTTAAATTAATATTCAATAAAAATGAATAAGAAGAGAGAATAAATAAAGAAATGATAATAAAGAAATATAAATGATTATAAAAAGAAAATAAATATATGAAGAAAGAGAATAAGAAATAATAACAATGAATTGTTAAATAATATCTATATTTCTCATTTTATATATTGAATAAATTGTGATATTTTATTAGTTAATTCAATTATTAATTATTCATTATTTATGTTATATTTTCTATTGATTATCTTGAATTATTCATTACTTTTATTTTATGTTCTTTATATTATTCTATATCATCATTATTATATATTATTGATATTATTCTTATTATTTTAATGTTTTCATTCATTTATATTACTTCTCTATCATTTATCATTTTGTTTATTAATATAATCTTTGTTTCTTTAATTCTTTCTTTTCTTCTTTTTCTCTTTTTCATATATTTTCATTTCTCATTATTTCTGTTGTTTATAAAATGGTGAATATCATATTATCTTTCTATCTATTAATCTCTCTTCTTTCTTCTTTTTATTACTTCTTTTTGTTTTTGAATGAAAATATGAGATTAATTAAAATGATTATAATTCAATAATACGTGAATAAGAGAATAACATAATTATCAATAATAAAATAATTGAATGATGTAAGAATAAAGAATATATTGATAAATAATATCAATATGAAAATTAACATAGAATGAATTATAATAATATAATGTTTATTATTTAATACTTCATTATTAAATCATTATTCATTTATATTTAAATCATTTCACTTTCATTATTACTTTAAATATATTACTTATTATTATAAATATCATAATATCATTTATAGAAACAAATCATTAGAATAATAAAAGATAAAATAAGAAATAAGAATAAGAATAAAGAGAAATGGAGATAAGATAAATTAAATGAAAAGATAGAAGATATTAAATAAAATATAAAATAAAAGAAATAATGATAATAATTGATTGAAATTGAAATAGAATAAAAAAATAAAATAAATGATGAAAATTAAAAAGAATAAAAGAAATAGAATAATAAAATAATAATAAAATGAAAGAAATATAATTTAAAATTATTTACTTTTATATTTATGTTTTATTCTATTTCTTATTATCTTATTTATCATTATTTCATTCTTATCTTTTTATTTCTTATTTTATTCTTTATTCTTTCTATTCTTTATTATCTTCATTTATTCTTTATCTTTTTATCTTTTTTATGTATTTATTGTATTCTTCTTTTTTATCTTTCTTATTTCTTTTATTATTTTTATTTCTGTTATATCTTCTTATTCTATACTTATGTTTATCTTTTTTATTTCTCTTATTCTTTCTTTTATTCTCTTTTTATTATTATTTCTTTATCTTATTTATCATCTTTTCTTTTATTATTCTTTTTCTTCTTTTCTATTTCTTCTTTTATTCTTTTTATATCTTCTTTATATTATTTTATATCTATTTTATTCAACTTTCTTATTTCTATTCTTTATATTCATCATTTCTTCTTCTTTCTTCTTTTGTTTTATTCATTTCATTTAGATGTTTATTCATCATTGTTATTTCATATTATTTAAACAATTCTTATTTATGTTGATGAAATATTTGATTATTGATGATTATTTAATGAAGTAATGTGGTACAGTGTGAGTTATTCATCTTATTTAAAATAAAAAGAATTGAATGTATTAAAATTATAGAATATACACAATCAGATAGTTTTGAATATGGAAATATAATCATGATAGAAGTTAAATCATTTGAATTGTTTTAAAGATTATGATATAATATTAATGTTAATTGATATACATTCATCAATTAGTAAATTAGTAAATGAATGTTTTAGATATTGTTCATCATAATAATGTTCACTTTTCAATTATCACTTGATATAATATGATTGAATGATTTAAATGAATGAAATCATTAAGTGTAATAATATTCAACAATAATATGAATAAAATAAAACAATTGTTTACATATATTAAATGAATAGAAATAAATTATTATTCAATCATCAATTAATGAACTACAAATGATTATTTTTATCAATGTTCATCATTAATATCAATTAGTACATTATCAATTAACAAATTATCATTTATAATGAGAAGAAATGAAGAAGAGATGAGAAAGAATAAAAGAATGAGAGAAGAAGTAAAACAGAATAAAATAGAAAGAAAATACAATATTGAACTAAGATGAAATCAAATGAAATAATTAATCAATTAAACACATATTTTTAATGTAAAATAAGAGATTAAAGAAGAAAATGAAGAAATTAAATTAGAAATAGATGAATGTCAAAAAGGAGTTGAAAAAGAATCAGATAATTCAATAGAATTGATAAAATTAATGCAATGTTTCATTCAAAGAAAATAAATAGATGAAACAAGAAAAGTATGAAAAACAACAATAGAAACTATCAAATTTATGAAATTAGAAGAGAAATTAAACATTTGGAAAGCATTAATGCAATTAGAAGCTAATCATGGAGATGAAAAGAGTTTAAAGAAAGTATATAATGAAGTATTAGAAGTATGTGATAGGAAGAAGATTATGCTTCATATAATTCACATTTATAAAGAAAAGAAAGAAGTAGAAGAGAAAATATTTAGAATAATATTTAAGAAAGTTAAAGGAAGTTGTAAAGTATATAAGAAATATTGTAATTTCATAATGAGAAATAATAGAGAAGAAGAAAATAAGAATACAATAAGTAAAGCAAAAACAACATTAGATAAAAAGAAAATGATAAGTTTAGAAATTCATATTGCACGATTAGAATATAAATATGGATCATTGATAAAGGAAGATCAATGTTTGAAGATATTTTAACAAATAATCCAAAACAACATGATGTTTGGAATATTTATATTGATATGGAGAAAGAAGTAGGAGAAGTAGGAGTAATACGAAGAATATTTGAAAGAATAGTTAAACAAAAATTAAGTACTAAAACAATGAAAACATTCTTAATTAAATATTTAGAATTTGAAATAAAATATGGAGATGAAAGTAAACAAGAACATGTTAGAGATATTGCTAAATCATTTGTTTCAAGAAAATAAATTGATTGAATTTTTAATAAAAAGAAAATCATTTTATAATAAAAGAAATAAATAAATATTTAAATTAAATTATCAATATAATTTTAATAATGAATTTACATTATTTTTATTATTTATTATCATATTTCTTATTTATTTTATTTATTCTTTATTTATATTCTTTTATTTTATTATTCTTTCTTTTATTTATTCTTTTTATTCTTTGTTTTTCTTTATATTCTTCTTTTCTATTATTTTTATTTTACTTCTTTCTTTATTTCTTTTTTGATTATTTATTCTGTTATTTATTTTATTTTAATTATATTGTTCTATATTCATATTATTTTGTTTTGTTATTTGTAA